TCACTCACCGTCAATCGCGGCAAGCCTAGTGTGGACTCTGCTTTTCTTTAATATTGAGAACGATTTTTAGAACTATATCTTTATCGTTATCTTTATAGTTATCGTGCTTGGTGTGAACGGGCCTTTAGTCTTTTAAAAAAAGGAAAAAGTTACAATCCTTATTTTTTGCTCATTTAAATGTTAAATCTCTTTAAACTAGATTTTGAGTCTCAGATTTGCAACAGTGGTCTCAGACTTCTGGAATTCACCTTATGCGGGTAAACATTACTATGTTTATACTTTATTATTTAAAAAACAAAACTTGACCCTCTAACACTAGCACTCTCTATTCTATTTTTTTTCTATATACTTTTCTTTTTATTAAAAAAACCTTGACTCTCTAACACTAGCTCTATTCTATTCTATCTACTTTTTATTTATAAAAAAAAAAAAAACCTTGCTACGTGTACGCTGTTAGACTATCCAGGCCTCGTCACAGCACTTTCATATTGTTGCTCTTTTGTTTGTTTGATTGCTTCTATTGTCCTCAATTGCAAGTTGTTTTGGATAAAATTATTAAATGTAATTTAAATGTATGTATATAGTAACACATGTATATAAAGCATGTATATTATATAAATAAATATGTGTACCAGTGTGGAACCTTTATTATGTTAGATTTTTACACAATTTATTGAGCAAATACATTTCACATTTTGAAAATCTGTATATCATCATAAGGCTGAAAAATATTAGTATTAAAAATATATATTTTTTAGCTACATCACCAAGCCCTGTGAGAGGCATGTGTCATGAAAAAAACATCAATGATAGACAGGGTCTAGAAATATATTAGTTTCCAATCTACAAAAAAACAGTTTCATAGTCGACTCAAACTCAAAAAGTTCAAAATGTTCAGTTTAACACTAAATGGAATGCTTACGGTGGAGTGACACTGTTTAGACAGGAAATTTAGTCACGCATGTAATTTGGCTTATTTCAAAGTCCTCAAGATTACCTGATAACCAATGGCAACAGAAATTGCTAATGGCACACTGGATAAGCGCTAGAAAGTGAAGATTAAAAGATGGGAGTGTGGGTTAACTTTCTTTGATTGGCCACATACAGAGAATGCAGAGCTTTAATTTACGGCAGGATCTGACACCCGCGGATCGCTGCGTTTGCATAACCGGCAATTAACAGCACCACACAAGATGAGCTCATCATTTCCTTTGAGCGAGCAATACGGCAGCCTTTTGAAAACCAAACCACGAATGCACAGGCAGGCATGTTACAGGCAGGTTACACACAGCATAGGAAGGCAAAAAAACAGGGTTTGACTTTGCTTTCTGCTAAAAGTGCTTTGACTTTCTCTCACGTCTACTGTGACACATCCGGATTTATGGCATGGCTTTGTGCTTAGGGCTGGTTGCACTGTGATAAAATACCTTTGAGAATTTGAATAAATCTGGAGAAAAAAAGAAAAAAGTAGGGGAGATTATTTAAAAGCGGCGCTGGTTGTCGTGCCTGACAAAACAAAAAAAAAAGTCTCATATGTTCTGGTCTGTAAAGCATGGGGTGTTAAAAGGGGAGGGTGCCTGAAAGCGAGACAGAATGGGGGAGAACAAAACAGAAAAGAGAGACACAGAGGGAGGTCGGCACATCCCAAAGCAAAAAGAGAATATGAAGTGACAGATTAAAGGCATGACAGCTTGTTGCTTTTAAAGCGACTCTCTGAAACGCAGTGATAGTGTTCACAGACTTGGACGCTTTTTACTCGCCCAGAAAACAAGCCTTTTCTACTCTGAACAGCAGAGGTAAGACAAAGGTGAAACTGGCAACTGGGCTGTGGCTGCATGAGAAAATTAATGTAATCACAGGTGTTAAAAAAGACGTGAAGAAGCCTTTGTAATTGCAGAGAAAAAAAGATTAGCAGTAATGAGAACAAAAGGACATTCTTTCACAGAGTAATTATCAGCATTAACCACCCAGTCACACTGAGAGTTGTGACATGACATGTTTGTGCTACAAATTTACCCTTGTTATGACTTACAGCTAGAAATCTTTTACACAAGCTTTGCAGTTTTAGAGAAATGGGGATGCATCTCACTCGGGGACCCACAAAGGATGAAGGCGACAAAGTGTGCCACCTCTGAAGAGGGCCCAGGTGAATGTGGGAAAAAATATAAATCCTTCCAGTTATATTACTATATTTAGCCAATCAGCACAAACCTCCTGACCAAGGTGGACTGAAATTTTTCACAGAGGACAGCGACCTGTCATGGCTATATTGGAAGACAGAACTGGATGAACTAGGTCATTCAATTATTTTTATTTTATTGATTCTAATTAATTAATTTTTTCATAATTTTATTAGTGACTTGTAATAAATAATAATTTATCAACTCTAACACTGTGTCTACACCGGACACAACAAAGCAATCCTTGCAAATCGTTTGAACTTTGTGTCAGTACATCATAAACGGAACGAGGCAGCAGTTTACTGTCGGGGAATTGTTGTGTCATGTCACGCCGCATCCAGTGTAGACAGCATCACTTATTATAATGAGTTCTATAGTATTTTGTCATGCCGTGCCGAGTTGATAAATTATTTAATTTGATAATATTTATAATTTAATTTAAAGGACCGTGTTCATTGTGTTAGGGTTGGGCACAGTTTTTTTGCTGTGGTACCAAAAATGTTAAAATTTCATTTAAATTGCTGTTGCCTGAAATTCTGGAATTAGCAAGTTAAGAATCAAAGTTTTTTTTTTTTTGCTTTTGTTAATTTTTTTGCCAACCAACCTACCTGAGAGATATATTTTTTCCAGAGTGGTTCATCTTCACTAATGTCAAACTCGTTCCATCCGTGGTAGGCGCGACGTCGTGTAACCTCCTCCTGGGTGAGACCAAACTGCAGGTCAGCCTAACAAAGGGAGAGACGAAAAGAATTGTCCAAAAAAAAAAAACAGCTTTCCCAAAATAACACTCATCTGATGCATAACCATGACAACTGACATTAACCACTAACAAATAAGAACGCTGGAGCCATGGAAACAACTAATAAAGCCAGTGTCCTGGAACTTGAGCTTTGGTACGTCTACTGTTAGATAACTGTCACCAACAATGCATTTCTGCTCCCTGCGCGAAGAAAGACCTTGAGACCAGAGCACTGTATCGTGAACTGGAGAGAGCATAAAAAGCTTGATGACTGTACCTACAGACCTGCTGTCTGAGCAATATTAGGAATCGTGCTGAGTACAACCAAATCTGACCGCTTTGTATCGCTTTACAACAAACTGGAAAGCCAAAAGGTCTCCTTTGCTTTCCATGTTCAGCTTACACTCAAAAACATGGCAGCTTCTGTGGGTACACAAATGAAAGACACATTGTTTTATTTTCTATTAAAATACTACTACCCATGGTGTATTATTCATGGTTAAAGTGCTTCCCGGAGACTGTGGCCGAATGTTGATGACAGTGGATGAATAAAGGTCTTCTTGGAGCAGATGGTCATGTCAGTGTGGTGATGGACATGGCACTACAAGCTCTATCATCCACGCTGAGATTGCAAGAGCATCCCAGCACTCTCTAATTTTCCTGGCGTGATTCATTAAGGGAACACTGTGTGGTATCTGCAGGGATGAGCTTTGAATTCCTCAGTGTCAAAGCATGCCGTCTGTGCATTTGGTGAATGTTTGACTGCATGAGGAAATTCAACTGGACTAGTTCTGCTGTTGTTTCGATAGGCTGTGGCTAGACACACAATGTGCTTTAAATAAGCAGAACGTGATCCAGGATCAACATCCTGTATTGCTCCAGGAAACATAATTCATATTGAACAATCAAAGTCCTATGCCTTGCCCTGGCACTAAATCAGGTGCCAATAATGCTTGATGGGACTGCTGATCCAGGAACAACAAAGGATGTTGACATTTAAAGTCAACCCTCAATACTGTTCCTCGAAGTTCCTAGAAGTTGCATTATGGAATACCTGATTCTGATTGCTCAGTTTCTGCAGCCAAATATTTATATTTTAGTATTAGTATAATGACTACTTCACACTGGTATCCTGATCTGACTGAGTTATTTTGCAATAATGGCAGACTATCTCTTATGCCACTTATGCCAAAATGGACTCTTGAATTTGAAAGTTCTAGAAAGATTTGCTGATGCATTTTACTAAGTTGTACTAATTAAACTATAAATGTAAGTTAAGATCTGTCTTGGTTTAATGTGATCCCTTTTACATAGCTCATATAAATCATTATGAAAAATATATGCAAGTATGCCATGTAAATATGCCATTATTCACATTTGTAACCACAGAACGCATTTTGATTCACATTATAAAATTGTATATTTAATGATGTTGTTATATTAAATAAAGTAAAATAAAAGGATGCAATTATCTTTAATTTATTTCTTTCATCCCAACAAATCCCCCCAAAAAGACCAGCTGAACTTTTTTTAGTCTCCTACTGGTTAAAACTGTGATCAATAATGATGCACATGCTTCCATTAAGTTATATATGAAAAGTCATGGCTAAACTTTTAAACTTGAGTTAATAATTCTGTTTATACATTGGTCACCACATGTACATGCTTATCTTTCAGGTTGTAATCTCTAAAACACTTGTGTATGGAACTACTCCCTTAAATAACTGATTAAGTTGCACAGAAACAGTCAAGGCAACCAACAATAGTGGCATGGAAGAGATATGCAACTGTAGTATGATCAACAAATCTTTTTTGTACTCTATAACAGTGCAATTACTGAAAATGAATCAACAACCTTAAATGTCAAAATAAAGAATTGAACTATGATGCAGCAAAATTACATTTGCTCTGATAATTAAACAATAATACATAAAATATATCATTGCAGAGAGCTTTTGTTAATATCTTGTGCAGCTATTAGGGTTGCCAATCAATTAAATATTTAAAGCTGCAGTTCGTAAATCTTGCCTCTTTGTCGCCATCTCTGTTTGAAAACCTGGAATTGCAGCTGTGTGCGGAATTATCTAGCTTGCGTGGGTTGCGAGTCGGCACGGTATTTTATTTCGATATAAGCCAAGAGGAGACTGGTTTTCCTTTGCTAAAGTAAGGAAACTTTGCATCCTTTGCTCCTGCTTCTCATCTGTGCTTGTTTACATCAGAGTGCATGAAGCAGCATACAGCGGTGTTGTGCATTGTGACCAGTTGATAGGAAAAGTATTCTTAAAATGCATTCAAAAAATGGGAATAATTTGTAATGAATAATTATTCACTGTATTTTGAGGTGCTCACGATAACAATATCGTGCATGTTCATTATCGTGATATATCGCATTACCGAATAATACCGGGACATGTCTATGTGACATGAATATAGCCTACCTGCAGTGCACAGACAACCTCGTTCACAGGTAGTTCACTGGCTTTTTTTGAAGACAGTACTGGAATCATGGTCTCATTTTCACAGTGGGGTTGACACTCGGCAAGCTGAAAAAAGAAAAAAACAAAAATGAATTTATTTTAAACAGATTACAACAAAACATCAACTGAGGAGGATGTTAGCATCCTGGCTAAAACTGATAACCCATGTGATTTAAAAAGGTTACAAGGTTGGGGGTAATTCAAATCCAAGATTACTAATCTCTCCTCAAAAAAAAACAAAAAAAACATTGCAAGTCCACTAAAGGAGGTAGAGCTGAACTACCACATTTTGCTATTAGTTTGATTGCATCATATAATAATTGCTGTTAATAGTGTTCATCGTCTGTTTGATTACGTCTTTAATTGATTTTTCCGTACATTTCTGCCATATATACATTAACTGACAGTCACCACTGATAAGCTACCACTAAATATTGTAGAAACTTAATTTGCTGTAAAGTTGGCTTTGCAACGATTTGTATCGTGAAAAGCGCTATACAAATAAACTTGAATTGAATTGAATATACAAAACAATTACAGGCTCAGAGACATTGACCCATTCAATGCTGCACATGAAAACAATAAACAAATCTAGGCAAAGCACATGTACCATTTTGACCAGACCAACCAGTCATAGGACAGAAGTAGCTCCTGTAAAATCATCTGACACTTTCTCAATTTGCACAGACTATCAGCTACAAAAGATGCATTAGAGCAATCCACAGCTGTGCCTCGGTCTGACTGGAGGAAGATCGTCCAGTAATGATGGAGCCCAGCAGATGGATTGGAAAGCATTAGGGAACAGAATGACATTAGATGGTCTCTAGATGGTCATGAACATCAGGTTAAGCTTCACAAAGAGCACTAGATAAACATCCATGCAACATCCTATCCCATTTGCTTTGCTGGATATTGATCTAGCCAGCTAGCAATAAATCCTTCCATGATTTTTCAACACCATCTGCCAATCAAACTCACAAACAAACATATAAAGAAAGAAAAAAAACATACAGGCTTCATTATACACTACATTTTCAAATTTTCTTAAGAAAATGTGGGAGATACTTGTCTATGCAAAACGTCTCATCACAGGTTGCTGAAGTGTTCTGGGTGGTTACTTGCTGTCTCAAGTCAAAAGACAGATCTCATTCAATGTACAGTTCAAATGTGTGGGGGTCAATAAAATGTTTTTATGAATACCTTTAAATATTCAAATATATACAAATATATGCCATGGTGAGCATAAGACAATTCTTTAAAAATACATGTAAGCATCTTACTGACCCTAAACTTTTGAAAGGTAGTCTATTGGATTTTTAGGAAGTAACAAAGCTCTTCTAGCAAAAGTAATATAGTAATTTTAATAATGGCCAGGAACTACTTTCACTGCCAGTTTGTTTTCTAATTTTAGGAATTTTCGGCCAATGATTTACATACTGTAACTTGTGACTGTGTGAACAGAAGTTAATGAAATGTAGATATATTCTCAGGTCATTTAGAATTACCTAAGGTTAAATGCTCAGAGATGTTGTACAAGAATCCTACACTTTAAACAAACTAAGTTACAATGGAAAGAACAAAACATTCCAGATGGCTGTTTAAATTTTTAGGAACAACATGCAAATATAACCAAACTCCTGTTGTGACTGGATTTCAGGACACGACTGCAAAACAAACCAGAGAGACAATATGCTCAGAGCATATTCTAAACAGTCTCTGAGCATGAACTTTTAAGAGTTACCCTCAGGATGGATGTCATTGGCGGGTATCATTCAGGATGATGCCCTGCTTAAAAGACGACAGAGAGAAACAGACAAAGAAAAAAGCTATAGAGAAATAGAAAATCGGGCTACCTTTTGTAGTCTGTATCATGTTAAGCATCAGATCCAGCATGATTCTTACAGCGCCCCATACATCAGCTTAGCATCTTGAAGTGTTACACCATATTCTTGCTGCACTATCACTCGGCAGGTCCAGCGTAGAGATAAAAGAAAGTATCTTACCGAAGATCTAGTGTGTCTGAGCCTGAGCGGATTCCCATAATTAAGAGTGGCAACAGCTTAAACCTTGATGAGCCAATCCCACGTTCTCACCTCTCTCTAAACAGGCTCTTTAAACTAATGAATGAGTGCTATCTGAGATATCAAGGTCAATTTGCGAAACTGGTATTGTGCCACGGTTAATTTCTGTACTGTACCGATACTGTATAATATGCATCCCTACTCAGAAACAGGATCATAGTCTGCAGTCACTGGCTTGAAAAAAAATCTATATATATAATATTTACCTCTTTAACCCGTCACAAAAACTGTATCACTACTGCTGTACACTACCGTTCAAAATTTCAAGTTGGTTAGATGCTTTTAAAAAGTCAATTTATACATATATCTGCTTTCTATATTAATATATTTTAAAATATAATTTATTCCTGTGATGGCAAAGCTGGATTTTCAGCATCATTATGCCAGTCTTCAGTGTCACATGATCCTTTAGAAATCAGCCTAATATGCTGATTTGGTGTTTAAGAAATTTTTCTTAGTGCACCTTAAAAAAGTTGTGAAAACCATAATTTTTTCCAGGATTCATTGTTAATTAGAAAGTTCAAAAGAACCACATTTATTAAAAATATCTTATCTTTGAAATATCAGTTTTTACTGTGGATCAATTTAATGCACCCTTTAAAAAAAATACTGACCCGAAATATTTGAACAGTAGAATATATCTACCCTATGAATAATTGTAGAAATAAGAAAACAATCAGTTTATCAATTCAGAAGTTATGCTGAAGCTCTTAAATATGCTTGTCTTCAATTTTGTTTTTTACACCGTTAAGAAATCCCAGGTTTGAGGTCACTGACACCAAACACCATTGATTCTTGTATGTCTTGTGACATATCAGGAGGATGTAGGCGAGTTTGAAAACAATGCAAATTAGACTTCAGAGCTACAGCAGACAGCATATTAAATTAATGCCCTAAAATTAGTTCCTCACACAAAGCAATTGTATGGTTTCAGACGACTAAAAATACACATGCACAAGCAGTATGGACTAACTTTCTGGTACATTTTGCCACTTTCTTTAATGGAAATCTCTGACATTCGACTGAAGAGCTCATTTTGTGCTCCGCAAATAAAGAAAATAACAAAGGGTTGAAACAACCCTAAACATTTCAGAGATCTAATAATAGCTCAACCTTACATTGTCCTCTAACCAGTGTCAGGAATGTGACGTGAATCTATTACCACTAAGATGTGCTATATGATTGACAGTTTTTCTCTACAAATACATCATGTTGTTAATAGTAAAACTCTTAATCGGTTACTAACAAGTGTGATATCAAAAGCAAGATAAGCCGTTTATCATCTTACTCAGTCAGCAACATGAATCGAAAATAAATAAATAAAATCAAGCTTTAATTGTTTTCATGTCTCCCGGGCCCCCCTATCTGGGTCTCAATTACAAACTCTGCCTGGTTCTCCTGCTGACAGAATTGGGCCAAGCGCAGGTTCAAGGCCATGCAGATACAGAACAAACTGCTCTCTCAGCGCTCTCCATTAGATGATCGAGACTGATCGTCTGCAGTCCACTGAGAGGCACAAGGTCATGTTCACTCTAGTAGAGCCTCCACGGAGTTGAAACCGCACTCTCCCCCATCAACCTCTCTTCACCTTTTAAACAGTTCTAGAGTAGGAGCTTATGTATGTGGTATGAAAAGAATTTGTTAAGAAAGACGAAGTACACAAAAAGGAGGAAAAATGCAGTTCACTAAAAACAATGACAAAAACATTCTCAGGCCCTGCCATGCCCTTAACAATCCTCATTCTCCGTCCTCCATCTGACAAGTTGAACATTACGCAACGCTCCTAAACAAACCAGAGCACAAATACGCACAAAAATTATTTGAATGGCCACACCTGGCTTTCATCTTTGTCTATGGAAATGTTTGAACTTTTGATAGTCAAAAGTCAAAACGCCTCCACCTTTCTCCCTTGCGTTGTGTTGAATGGCAGTCCGCATTGTTCCTCAGTACATTTCAATGATCAGAGTCCTTTTGTTTGTGAAAAAAAATGTTGTACATGTATGAAAGCGAGAGAGACGGACAAAGAATTTGTTTCTCTCTTGCCAAGTACAAACTCAACAGATTATTTACAATATTTGCAACACTAGCAATAAATAAGACATTTTAACACATTAACCAACACTGTATGCCATATACCATAGACACATTCTGCACTCTATCTTATGTAACAAAAAGTATGAGAGCACAAATGCAGATAGTTTGTTTCTTTGGGGTTTTTTAATGTCATGCCAGCTTCTTTGGCTATTTTCATGACGAAAACCAAACTTCAATTATTAAAATCCTAATAATAAAAAAAATAAAATAAATTTGTTTAACCAAGTTTCAAGAGAATAAAATAAATTCTAGAAGAGTAGAAATATGACAAACCAATAAAATATGTTTGAAAGACAATGAGCTCCGACATGTACATATGTGTAGGTTCGCAGATACTTTAAAACCATTTCTAAACAATCACAAATTTAAGTTAGTCAAATAATTCCTGAGAACCTACTTCATTCAAATTAGTTCTTTTGAACAATTTAAATGAACCAATTCAAAACATTGATTCAACAATTTGCACAATCACTTAAAAACTGGAATGAAATGGCTACTATCAACACAGCTCTACTAATAATTATAAACAACAGTGATAATGCCTTAGTAGGCACAACTAATGAGAATAAAACACATATATCCTGAAAAAAGGGGTCTGTTTGGGGTGTTAGTGACCATATTAAAAGGAATAATACCTTAATTTAATGCTTACAAAGTGAGAGTTGAATTCAGGATAAGAACAAATAAAAGATTATTATTTACAATGGAATACGTCCAGGCTCAGAGATCATACAGTTCAACAAAAACAAAAAGCGGTATTGTCGACTTTGAAAGTCTGTTCTGAGAAGAGTGTTGTTGAAACAAGAACAGAGCTTCCCACAGAGAAAGAAAATCTTTTTTCTCCAAAACCAAGGTAAACAAGGGACCAAACATCCAAGCCCTGGCTGCTCAGTGGTGGGAAATCAAAAGATTGATTCCACTTGTGAAAATGGCAAACTAAAACTTTTAGGATTGCATCACAACGTTACACTGAAACACATGCTATCAGTCGTCTTACTCCCTAATTTCACTTTTGCTATGATTCTAAACGTGCTGTCGGATTTCCTTAAAACTCTGCATTTCTAAAAAAGACTGGGTTAGGATGTGAAACAAACATCAGGGAAGCACTCTGCATCAGTGACCACACACCTCCAGCTACTTCTCAATCTGTCTCCTAAAACTAATGGGAGCTTCAAAGGAAGTTAAATGCACTGCAAAGTTATATATAGATGGAGCAGGGGCTGCTGGGACAGAGCGCGGTTTATAATCTTCCTCCTGGCTGTCCTGACAGTGCCTGCAGGCAGAGGCTCTCTGGAACGGTTAGATAGCAGAGAGATGTCAGTCCACAATTGCTGTGAAAAAACGGAGAGAAATAGAAGACAGGGCGGCGAGAAAGAGGGAAATCCAGTGGAATGAAGCGGTTTTCTTCACACACAAAACCTTTTACACACACATGGAAAGAGCAAATATACCCTACACATCATCCAAGGGGTGAACAGGCAGACACCCACTAAACTCTCCCTCACCTCCGCAATTATACACAAACATATCGTTCTGTAATGATCAGCATTGCACAGCACTATTGGGTATTACTTTGGCCTGTAGAGGACAACAGTGACCGCATTAGAAACCTCAGTTAAGGAAGTACTTTTCTTATTCATTGTCTCTATGGAGACTTCAAAAGCAAAACCAACCAGCTATAAAATGATTCACAAAATTACAAACCTGATTTAAAGCAAAAACAAAGCAATTCACACTGTGACCCAACCTTTAGCATGATTTGTCGCAATTAACCTGCAATATAACTGGTTTGTGACTAAAACTGGGCCAGCAGACATAACTTGTGAGACAACTTCAAGCAAACCACTTTTGTTTAATAAGGCATTTAACCTTTGTGCTCTGCTGAAAAACCAGTCAAAAATCACCTGCCTTTTAAAAAATTATTGTAAATCTCTAGTTATGCTATACTATCACCAACTCTTGGATTCGGCCATTCTGTCAGCTTGTTTTTTTTTTTTTCAATTGGAACAGGTTTTGTATTTCTTTTTGGAACTGATTGATCGTAGGCCTTTCGTTCATTTTTAAATTAATTGATCCCAGCTTTTAAATTAAAAAAGCATTATTTGTGGATAATTTTGTCAGTAGCCACTGAAAAACTGGGGTGCATAAGCTCAGATCAATGAAACCTGTGATCAGTTCCAAAAAAATACAAATTCTGTGCTAATTGAAAGAAACGTGGATAAAAAAAAGATTAAATCCAATATTTGGTAATGAAATAGCATAACATAAGAAGTGTAAAAGCTATTTTTGTAGGTGTTAATTTTTGAGCAAAGTCAGTGGATTTTATTCCTTTAATAAGAAGTACTGATGCAATAGGAGAACAAAAATCTAAATGTGTAATTGCATCAACACAGACCTGAAAAGTAAGTCAACTGAGGCTTACAGAAGCACATCTCAATCTCAGAGTGGTATGTCTGTTTAGTTTATCTTGTTGTTAAAATTCAAGCTAAAGATAAAGAAAGGGATTTTTACTTCCGGGAACCTATTGTTATTCTCTATTGACCATTATTATAACTAGTGACTCTATTTGACTTTGTCACCTGACACTCCACTGGTTTTTACGTTTCACCACAGAGGTATTGGAATACTTGCTAAGCCAAAGGACAGAAATGTGCTAACAGTCTAACGTGATGTGTTAGATTGTACACACTTTTTTAACAAGCATGCTTGCAAATTGCGACAGTGCCGGCATGCAGTGACAGAGAGATAAACCTCTGTGACTTCCCGTAATTTTATCTGATCAAGTCTGCTTCAAAATCTTGAACTTGTCAACAATTCCCAAATCTGCTATCTAGGTAAGCACCTCACTAGGTTTTAGGACACAGCCCTACACGCATATGCATTCCCTCTTCCAGAGCACGATGAACTGGACTCTATCACCCCAGTTACTCCAGGTTTGTTGTCATTGGCTCACCCCTGCTTGTAAAAACCTCTAGTCAAGCACACCACACAGTGGCAGTGAACTTTAAACACCGCATTAGCCAGAGAACGACAGCAGGTTGGCTGGGGTGCAGTTTACTACTCATGAGAAGCTTATGTGGTTACTCTGAGGCCTATTTCGTGAAAGAACACAACAGTTCCTGCTGTGCTCTGTTTGATTAACCGCAGATGACAGATGTAACGTTAGCTGTAGATAACAGCTGAAAAAACAAAGAAATGTTTGACAGGATGTGACTATAAAGTGAGCGCGACTGTACATAAGACAAAACAGGACGGTATGCTGATATCTATATTTTCCAACGCTCTACTCCAAGATACATGTGTTATATACGACCAAAATAAACCGATTCAATCCATACACACTACAACGGCTGCATGTATCACTTATTTTCACTCTCAACTCAAGTTTCAAGCTTCCACAGCCGCAAATGGGTTTGAGGAATACCTACTGAATTAATCAACAACACTAATACATGTCACGCGCCACACGGTTAAATGGTTATTTTGGTGAGACACTGATAGTACCGTACATGACGGCTGACCTTAAAGCTTCTCCCGTCGCTTTTCTCGCCGGTGTACGTTGTTTTCCGTTGCAGCCGTTAATTTGAATGACCGTCGCTCGCCGAGCGCGGGCGGCGACAAAAAACGCTCGCTTTCTGCTAATGTTTAAATCACACCAGCGGGTCTCTAATTGTGTTTTAGCTGTGTTTCATGGCACACATTCACACCGAACGCAGTGTGGAACAACGTCTAAACAAACGGGGCTTTTTCTGAGCCTCGCAGTGGGGATTTCTGAGCGCTATAAAGCCGGCAATGGGTCTCGGAATAAGGAAAATCGGCTTTTGTTGAAACTTACCAGCGGGTCCTTTTTCTTTTGCATCTTCCGTGAGCTTTCGTCAGGTCTGTCTGACGGCCGCTGATGGCGTCATCGCGCAGGGCACGCAAAAGGGGGCGGGGCGACGGAAACAGATTTGGGAACTGTCAATAAACTTGACACACGTTGATAACAAGTCAAATACTTTACTGAAAGACAAGTCGCTGATGCAATATAATTGATGCATCGTTTTTAGAAATCAGTTATAATGATATACGGAGTAATTATTTGCACTAGGTGTAAATAGCAACCGCCAAAACTAACGAAAGTATGCCAGCTTCTGTCTCTTTTGAATATAATACAGTTGTCTTTAGGTAATGCTGACACATCGTTTTAGGGATCAGAAAAATACAGACTAAATAAGACAAATACAATAAAAAATGATGTTACCTCATCACTCATATCGTTCTGGCAAAAAAAAGTAATTACAACTATCCAGGAAAAGCGACACACAATACACAATAAGATCCGCAGCGCCGCCTAGCGGAGCCACAGCTCTTTCTCGTTACCAATGCCAACTGTTCAAACAAATATCCCAGAACTGAAAACAAACACAGAAATCCGATATACTGTAGGTATTTCATGAATATTTAAAAAACAAGACAGCAAATAGGCTAAAACATTTATTTCCTGAACATCGTGTATTTGGGTATTAGGAAGGGTTATATCCTTGTGTTTTTTTGAATTGCGTGTTGCTACCTTTCTGCATTCTAGATGACGTGATCTTAATTAGTAACACATAAACTTCTGCTATTGGAAACATGAGCTCACCGCTGTCCATCCTGAGGAGGAACAAACGAGCTCCTCTACCAGACATACAGAGTGAAGGGTAAGTTCCAACGAAATGCAGCAGTCAATATTAAATACCGAAAAATAGCCTACTAAAGCATAAGCATGTGCAACTTTTTTGAAAAGCTGTGACACTGACACTTGAAAACATGAAATTATTTTCTAGAAACTATGCTAGAAATGACACTCGTATTTGTTCCTTTTTCAGAATACCGTATCCAGTACCACAACTTAATTCATAATTAATATTGTCTTCTATTTTTTAAGTGTATTGTGGTCCAGATGCTGATATAGTAATAATATATCTATAAAAATGATGATACAAATACAATCATATATAGGATAGAATATAACAACCATCTAGAAAGTGATGTAATGTTAAATGAAAATAATGAAACATGCTGTATATTACCAATGAATTTAAAACATCCCACCCTCCGCATTAAAATCACAGAAATCTGCATATTATCAAGAAAAGATGTTTACCAGCTTATACACATTCATGTTATATTCCATCCTGTTCTTGAAATTATTAATTATAACTTGATTATTTACACAAAGTTCAAAGTATCTGAGCTTGACCAGAGCAAATCTGTGAAAGTCTGCTGTAGCTTTTTAACATAGTTCACCCAAAAAAAGAAAAGTCTATCATCACTTACTAACGCTGTTAGTAAAGTTGTTCCAAACCTGCATGGATTCTGTAGAACATAAAAGAAGATATTTTGAAGAATGTGTGTAACCAAGCAGCTATTGGCCCCCATAGACTTTCAGAGTATGGAGAAAAAAAAATACTATGACGTTAATAGGGACTAGAAACTGTTTGGTTATTAACAATCTTCGAAATATTTACTTTGGTGTTCAGCAGAAGAAATTCATAGGTTTGAAACAACTTGAGGCAGTCAGAATACATTACCTAAAATGTCAGAATGACAATAATTTGTAATCAGTAAGAGACCACAATTTATAAGTAATCTACCCTGTCCTGTTATCCACTAGAAACATTTGGTATTTGTAGTTACAAAGACACTACCCTGTATTTTCTTATTTTGTTCCTGCATCGCTGTGCTCATAATGTTTCGGTGCTGCGAACTTTAGCCAATGTGTGTGTGTGTCTGTGTCACCTTCAGCCAATAACAATGCACGTCACAGGTGAGGGCGGGACTTTACCTGTTTGTCATTACCTGTCATCTGTAACTCGCCATTGTAGTTACGTTTTTATGATGACACGTACTGTTTACTAATGAGCTTCTATTTATGCTATTTATGTTTATGTTAATTCAATTTATGCATGATAAACACAATATTTGAAAAATATTTGCAAAATACCTCAATGTCATCACTCATCTTCCTGCCGGTAGTCTCTTGAGTCAGTTGGGCTGTGTGTGTTCTGGCAAACTGATGTAATGTCAGGCAGGGCGGTGTGCTTTTAACTGCGTTCCGCCCGCAAGGAGGGACAAGTGTCAATGTTGCTTACAAAAAGTGACTGAAAATTTCAGCACAGTGTACTTTTAAATGTCAATGCAATCATTGCTTTTTTTCCCCAAAGTTATAGAATTCAAAGAGACTGCATTACAAGAACGATCTAGACCATCTTTGAAATAATCAGATGTCGTATCTGTTTTTGTGATCTAGAGAAAGAAAGCCTAACAAAGAAAGGTCAGACAATGGTAAGACTTACAGACATTTGACAGTTTTCCCATCTGTCCTAGCAAGCGAATAAGATGTCAAGATAAATGTCAACAATCAGAAGAGTTTGAACTGCTTTTCTAATGCCATGCATTACAGATTATATAAATGGCAGGTTTCCAACCATGCCAAGTGATTAATTAGAATATAGAAAATACACAGAGAAAACAATACACCAATGGATGTTATAAATCACTTAAATGTGTCAGTTTTGATGTTTCAGACTATGAAGCTCAATTATTCAGAGAGATCTTTCCACAAAAGCAGCCAGTGCCACACATCACGGACAATCTTTCCACTGTAAGATCAAAGGTTGTGCTAAAGAAGAAGGCAAAAGAAGGTACCTTATTGACCAACTACTAAAGCTGTTTTTATCAAAAGTTTAAATATGATGTCTCACAAATCTTCTCTAAACATGTCACAGCTCCGCCGAGTGATTTTGAACTTATGTCAAGTATGATGCAGAAGATTGTTCAGCTTGAGAGAAAGGTGAAAACTCAGGCTGTGGATATTGAGCATAAGGTATTCTTACTATCTCATTGTACTGTATTCAGACTTATGTGCCCTCTAGATATCTATGACTGCCTGGGACAGTTTTCTGGGAAGAAACTGTCCTGTGTAAAAAAAACCTTGGTGTCATCTTTGACTCTGAGCTCAAATTTGACCGACAAATTAATGCTGTTGTTAAAAATAGCCTTTTTCCATCTAAGGTCAATATCTAAGCTGAAGTCCATCCTCTCTTTTGACCCTCTATTAATTTACTAACTGCTTTTTTTCTTTCAAAAAAAAAAACTAACACTAACTTCTCTAATCTTTTTGTATTCTATTTATTATACAATTAACAAAAGCAAAAAAGGCCTCTAACACTAGCTTGCTCTATTCTTTTTTTTTTCTATCTTTTTATTTATTATATGACTTACAAAAAACCTTGCTACGTGTACTGCGTTAAGCTAACTGAGACTTGTTATAGCACTTGCGTATCATTGCTCTTTTGTTGATTTTAATTGCTTCCATTGTCCTCATTTGTAAGTGGCTTTTGATAAGGGCGTTTTTCAGAGTTCGCTAAAAACTCATTTGTTTTCTCTAGCTTTTGACGTTTTAGCTGTGTATGATATTTGTTGTTACTATTATTATTTATTTATTTATATTTTATTTTACTATTATTAATTTTCATTTGTTTTTATATTATTTATTTTTTTCTCTTATCTTTCTCTGTACAGCACTTTGGTTCCAGTCGTGGTGTTGAAAGTGCTTTATAAATAAAGTTTGAGTTGAGTTGAGTAGAAGCT